GTAATCTTGTAAGTTGAGGCAGTGTGTTGTCTATGTGTGTGATGCGGCCTCCCAACCCCGCATTGGCGGCCATGCCCAGCTCGTCGTCGTGAGCATTTGGGCTGCTGGTAAGGGGAGAAGCAGCCTGCACGGCGCCAGGAAAAGCTCACGGAAAAGAACGAACTAGAACGAGGACCGAAAAGTGCGGAGGCAGGTGCGCCAGAAGTGTTTCGAAGCAGTTACATGTCAGAGGAGATGAACGAAGTAGCGTGCAGGCCTCCCAAATCCCATCGGCGGCCAAGCGGTGACAGCCCAGCTCATCGCCATGAGCATGTAAGCTGCTGGTAAGCGGAAAAGCAGCGTGTACGGATGTAGGGAATCTCACTGAAAAAAACCAAGCTGGAATGAACACAGAAAATGCCGAGGCAGCCACGCCAGAAGTGTCTCGAAGAAGTGACCTGTCCGATTGGTTCAATGCGGAACGCAACGAGAGAGATCACTTCATTCTCGACCTCATGATGTACTAGAGTGCGTTTGTGACTGAAAAGATCTATTTCCAGATCGAGGACCCGGATGTGATGGGCATTGAGCCTGATACCATGCTGATTGAGAATGGCTCCATTATTTTTGGAGCATTGAACCTCTGATGGAATCCCTTATCTTCATGCGGTTGTCCTTGTAGTTGTGTCTCAGACCCCTTTTCAAGCGTAGGGCGAGCAAGCAAGAAAGGCGTGTTTCCTGGGACGATGGAAGCCGTGAGGGGAAGGACTTGTCCATGCACCACTGCAGTGAACTCCACTTCATAGCTCGACTGCAAAGTTTCAACACCGCCAAGGCTCAGTCCTCACTGCTGTGAAGAAGGGATGGTCGGCACAGACCTGCGCCTTCCTCACGCTGGCAGAAGAGAAGCTGTCCATTGAGGTAGACCTGAATGCACATACCGGCATTTGAAGTTTGGAAACTGCCGTACTAGCAGAGCTCCCCTACTTAGGATGTAGTAGCACTCTGGGGTGTAAATTGCAATTTGTACAACTCGACACCCACGAAGTAGTTCTTCCGGGAGTCAAGAAGCTACTAGGGGCTCCTAGCAGATCCCACACAGAGCAAACTCAGGGCCACCACTGCTGCTGTGTGATTGCTCGGCCATGTTCTGTGGAGGCAGCACACAAAGGGCAGATCAAAGGGGAAGCCAAGGCAATCAGAGTGCCGCGAGGTAAGAACGACAAAATCCCACCGCAAGCCTTCTCCTTTCACACGGAAGTCCGACATGTCCTTGTTGCACCCCGCATGAGGATTGTAGGAGAAGCGGCTGTCGGGAGCTATAAGTGGTCCACCCGTGCTAAACAGTCGAACCAGAGAGGGTGGAGTTGTGGAGCTTGTTGGTGGTCGATGGAGGCCGTCTCAAACCTGGTGGTTGCCGATTGAAGGTGTCCGCGTCATGAACCCACCACCTTTGCCAGTTTCTTCGCTCTTGCCTTTTCCACCTCCTGACTTCCACTTTCCTTTGCCATCTCCCTTAGGGAATCGACTTCCAGAACGTTCGAAATCAGGTCCAAGAGCAACGACGGGATAGAAACCTCTGGAAAGTGCAAGCTCAAACATTCGTTTTCTGCTTTCCACACAGGATACATAAGCCTCATCTGCCTGATCCATAGATTCTTCAAGCTCCTCGGGGATTGTGTCATCATCTTTTTCATATTCGAAAGCTTCATAGGCCTCTTCATTCTGACTCACAACATACTTCTTCACAAACATCGAACCAGGTGTCCAAAACTTTTTCAACTTTGTCGTAATCCAAATCACCGGCATACATGGACTTGATTTGGACATGAGTCCAGCAAGGAACACCAGCGCGTGTGAGAAGGTGCCAACCTGAAAGAAAAAGAGGTACTTCAACATTCCCCTCTTGCATGCGCTTCAGGACGGTTCGATGACGAATCAAATAGGCCTGGACTCCTCTCCCTTCTTCCTCGAAAAGTCAGAGAAGAACTCATCAATCGAGTTCATCCAAGAGACGAAAGACGTGCTTGAAGGGATCTACAGCACGTTCAACCTCATAGAAGCTCAGTGGCGTCCCAAGCAACATCTCGAAGTCGGCTGATAATCAAGAAAGCACCTTCGACAGCCGTGTCACGACCACGACGATCGCATTACTTCTAAAAAAGTTCAAGGCGTCTCCTGTAGCTTCTATACGTCTTCGATATGAGGTTTTCTGAAGAGGGGTATGCTTTAGCAAGACTTGAATCCAATCCCTTGCTGTGTTGTGGAACGAAAGGAAACTGTGGTCCTGGCTCTGCTCTACCAACATTTACAAAAAAGAATACCATGACCTTAATCACCTTCTTCCACTTAGCTGGCTCTTCCAAGCTATGAAATCCTAGCACGACGGACGGGCATTCTTCTCGGAATTCTTTCCATGCCCGATATAAGCGATAATCACACCCTTCAACTTCTAGAAGCAAACGAAGTCGAATTCAAACAAGTAAATCGTCCTCAAAAACCTTCCGTCAAGAGCGTCGCCAGCTCGATTACCAATCAAAGTGTTCAAGTTTAACAGTGCACGAAATTTAGAGCTATTTTTATGTAACGAGAGGATCGTAGCAGCTAAATAGTACTAAAGGGCCCTGGCGACCGCGATAAATTAAACATTAAATGGTCATAAAATAATAAAAATATCAACAAAAATCAGATTTAAAATAAAAATATTTTTTAACGATCAAAAATAAACAAATTTTATTTATTTTATTCATCGCATCAATAATTTTATATCATATAGTTTAATAATGCACTCCAAAATCAACCAAGAAAACATAAAAAATAGATGATTTATAATCTACACTAGACGACGAGTAGCCCGAAAACATTTTTCATCACGCAGGAAATCAGAATATGAGTTATCTGGTGTGAAGTGTTAAGTCGAGTGAATTGAAGCAGTGTGTAGGTCTCTATGTGTGTGTGTGTGTGTGTGTGTGTGTCTGTCTATGTCTGTGTGTGTATGAGTCTTTATCTGTGTGTGTGTATGTTTCCGATTAAGTTGAGGCAGTGTATGGGTCTCTGTGTATGTATTTCAACCTTCTAAGAAAACCGAGTGGTCGGGAGACATAACTCAACTACACGGGCGCCAGAGCAGATACGAAAGATGACTCAGCCGCGAAAAATGATTCATCCGCGTACTAAAGTTGTATTACAAAGTCACCAATTCTCAGCTTCCAATTCCCCAGATGCTCCGCGCAATAAAGTTATTCTTCAAAAATCGCCAATTCTCATCTTCCAGTTCCCCAGATATTCCGCGTATTAAAGTTATATTACAAATTCGCCAGTTCTCAAGTTCCAGCTCCACAGACTACTCCACGTATTACAATTGTATTACAAAGTCACCAGTTCTCATCTTCCAGCTCCCCATATACTCCGCGTACTAAAGTTATACTACAACTTCGCCAATTCTCATCTTCCAGTTCCCCGGATATTCCGCGCACTAAAGTTGTACTATAAAGTCGCCAGTTCCCAGCTTCCAGCTCCACAGATTGCTCCGTGTACTAAAGTTATTCTCATCTTCCAGCTCCCCAGATACTCCGCGCACTAAAGTTGTATTACAAAGTCGCCAGTTCTCATCTTCCAGCTCCGCAGATACTCCGCGTACTAAAGTTGTACTACAAAGTCGCCAGTTCTCAGCTTCCAGCTCCACAGATTGCTCCGTGTACTAAAGTTGTACTACAAAGTCGCCAATTCTCATCTTCCAGCTCCGCAGATACTCCGCATACTAAAGTTGTACTACAAAGTCGCCAGTTCTCAGCTTCCAGCTCCACAGATTGCTCGGTGTATTAAAGTTGTACTACAAAATCGACAATTCTCATCTTCCAGCTCCCCAGATACTCCGTATACTAAAGTTGTTCTCATCTTCCAGCTCCCCAGATACTCCGCGCACTAAAGTTGTACTACAAAGTCGCCAGTTCTCATCTTCCAGCTCCGCAGATACTCCGCGTACTAAAGTTGTACTATAAAGTCGCCAGTTCTCATCTTCCAGCTCGCCAGATACTCCGCGCACTAAAGTTGTACTACAAAGTCGCCTGTTCTCATCTTCCAGCTCCGCAGATACTCCGCGTACTAAAGTTGTACTACAAAGTCGCCAGTTCTCATCTTCCAGCTCCCCCGATACTCCGCGCACTAAAGTTGTACTACAAAGTCGCCAGTTCTCATCTTCCAGCTCCGCAGATACTCTGCGTACTAAAGTTATACTACAAAGTCGCCAGTTCTCAGCTTCCAGCTCCACAGATTGCTCCGCGTACTAAAGTTGTACTACAAAGTCGCCAGTTCTCATCTTCCAGCTCCCCAGATACTCCGCGCACTAAAGTTGTACTACAAAGTCGCCAGTTCTCATCTTCCAGCTCCGCAGATACTCCGCGTACTAAAGTTGTACTACAAAGTCGCCAGTTCTCAGCTTCCAGCTTCACAGATTGGTCCGCGTACTAAAGTTGTACTACAAAGTCGCACTCGCACTCTCGCCTGCATTTCGCGCACTCGGCGCGCACGATCTCCGCAAACACGCACGATCTCCGCGCTCTCGCCTGCATTTCGCGCACTCGACACGCACGATCTCCGCAGAGGGTTGCACTTTCGGTTGACGCTGTTCGTCCTGCCCTCCGCCTTTAAGAGAGAATTTATGAAGTGGAGAAATGTTTTTCATTAGGACATCTCCCGTGCTAGTTTTCCATACTCACGCTTGCCTACTCACTGCATGCTTGCAACTCATTACTTGCATACTTACACTTGCATTGCATGCTTTGCACTTCACTGCTTTCGCTCTTCCACTGACACAGGGCTACGTCTAGCGTTCATGTTGTCCTGCAAGTGTGGTGAAAGTGTCAATGTCTAAGTGTAAGTGTCGAAGTGTCAGTGTTCAAAGGATTTTCCGGAAGAACCCTTCGCAATGCTTTCGGGAATAAACAATTTATAAGACAAAAATTAAACAACAAATATCTACCACCAAAAATATATATAATCTATTAGTTATCAAAAGTATATTTTTCACCACACTCGCTTCAAGTCACAAAAAGAATTCCAGCGGACCAGCTCAGTCGTGTCATGTCGCGCTCTGACGCCCGACGCTTCTTTGGAGCTAATCCTTTTTGGAAAATTGATATCCTTCGTATCTTCTTTCGTTTCTTTCGTACAGCTTGCAGTGCTGGGAGCAGACTTTGCACTTTTCGTGATTTCTTCCAGCTTGGAATTCTCAACCTTGACTCTACAAGAACTGTCGCGAATGAATGCATAGTTTTCAGCCCAGTCGCCTCGAATCAGTACTAAAAGATTGAATTATTCTAAATTCTTCACTTCACACAGTTCTTTTGTTCAGAACTCTTCTGTTTTGGTTGTTGGAATTCTTCTTTGTCGCAGCAAACGTCGTGCCTTCTCCAGCAAGGCGACCCACGGTGACAACTTCTCCTTCCTTTTCGCGTCCCCATCCACCATCGGCATCGTACCAGTCTTCGTACCGCCGTGGCTTCCAAGCATACAACGTCAACAAGGACAACGGGAAGACTTCAAAACACAGCAGGCACGCCTTAGAAACGAAACCAACACGCTGAACATGTAGAGCAAGGACGCTACTAAGGGCTCCTGGCATCGCTACTAGTAGCTATTTTGTCCACGTGACGTTGCAAAGATTGGCTTCATCGGATTTCAAGAGGTCCCGTTGTTGCACAAAGCTGATCACCAAGCTTTGCAGAAAGGTTACTGTGACCAACACCTCCAAGAGAAGAACATCAAATAACATTAAAAAACACTTGCTCAATTCTCTTGTTTCGCACCCACACCTTCACTCCCAAAAACTTCAAAAGAGGAGCGAATCCTTCAAGTTCCAAAATCTGATGGAAGCCATGCTCAATTGCAATCAAACTCAAGATGGCCTCAGCAGTCTCACAAGGGTTGCTCCTTTTTCTAGTGTTTCCTCTCCGAACACTTTGAGCAAGTTGTATGCTCAAGAGAATGAGGTGGAAAAAAATCAAGAACATATATACATTCATGTTAATCAAGAACAAATCAAGGCAACCCTTGACACCTTTTGCGCAAAGGTGGTTTGCTCCGTACTAGTTTGCTTCTTTCATGGTTGACCAGTGAAAGGGATTGTGCAAATATATTGTTTGTTCTGGGGGGAATCCATGCACTTAGAGTCTTGAGAAACATCAACGATTTGTTTAGGAAGATGTGAGCAATCAGCACGAGACTCAAACAACAATTGCAAGAAAACTATGCTTAAACCAAAATTGATCCAAACGAACACGTTTCGCAACCCACAATCAATTGATGGAAAAAACGGTTTTCGCCATGGATCGATGGTGGAGGTCACAAAGGCCGCGCCATCCATGGATCGTTGCAAATGGCAAAGCCATGGAGCTTTTTCGCACAATTTGATGTGGAAACTGTCAGCCACAAATGTCACCGTCAAGGCGAACCTGTGCATTTCTTCAAAAGCGCAGCAAAATCATGTCTTTCTGAGAAGAGGGTCTCTTGCTGTCAGGACACAAAGACTTTACGGCGCAGGTGTAAACGAAAATCTTCACACCTCAGGTGATCCGCGCAACACCCATGAAGCGAAATACAGCGTTGATGGTTCCCCAAACAGTGTGGACAGAGTAGGGGTGCTTAAGTCAAGTGTAAAGCACCGGTTTGTAATCGAGGCATTGCGGCTAATTCGCTGCTACTTACAGTGCATTCATGCCTCGAAATCCTCCAAGTGCATTTCGGCTGCGCAGGCTTGCAGAATCTGCTTGGCTGGAGCGGGTGCTTGTCGCCGCTGCGCATTTTTGGACATGGTGTAGCAGGCGAGGAGGCACATGTAAAGCCCCACCGCCGTCAATTATGCAAAAAAAATCCTTATTGAGGGGTCTCCATGATTCTCCATGCTTGGACTCTTCATGTCAGAATTTTAGCCCGTGACTTTTCTCTAGTGGCCCAATGTCACGCAGGAGCCATGGCCGCTCCACTCCAGCGCGCACTAGCAACTCGGCCTTCCGCATGCGAAGCGGATGTGATGCCACTACACCATGTGCCCTTGAATAGAGGTGCACTTTGAGGGTCACCATGTTTGCACGCGACGCATGCAATGGACGGAAAAGGGCGGACACCAGCAGTGACACAAAGGGCGGACACATCTTAAGAAAGAATTGAGAAAGAATCTTAACAGTAAACTGTTTGGGAAAAATGCAAGAACCGAAATCCAACACGTAAAAAGGAGAGACAAACCAGAAAGGACCGTAAAAGTTCCAACGACAGGTGTCAGAAAGGTCTGTTAACCACACTCCATCTACAAGCGTGCACTGCCGCAACGCCATGCAACCAAGTGTATTCAACACGCTCAAGTAGTGAGAGCTTCAAAGGCAACTGCAAGCACTGTCTTCAAATTCGTGGTGTAGGGGTTGCTGTCACTCTTAACTGTCTCAGCCCAAAAGTGTAAGTTCTCAGCACTAAGTGCCACACCGGTCTGCTATGCTCTTGACAGTTGTTAAGGTCAATGCCATTCAGGTTTAATGCACATTTCGTGCCGTGCAAAAAGTCTGAGTCGTGCATGGGTCTCAATAGACTTCAATACAAGTGTGTATTGATCATGATGGAAACACGTCGTGAACACAAACGAAGCTTCTTCAGTTGTTTGCAAGCAGTCAAGAGAGAACAAAGTAAAAGAAAGTGTCACCAAGCAAACTCGAATTCAAGTTTGATCCTTTCGATCGTGTCCTCGTTTTTCGTGTCGTTTTCGCAGTTCTCACGCATTCTGTTCGGTTTTTCTTCTCGAACCGTTGAACCGGTTTCCAGATTGCTTTGAGCTCTTCTATCATACTGCGATATCCTAGTTGATCGACTCTCGAGAGAATACTTTGTTCATAAACCTTTGCGTTTGGCGTCAACTCTTTTGAAGCGTCATCGAAACACCGAATCGACGATTCAATGCTCTTTTTGCGTTTTGCAAAGACTGTGTGATCCGATCCTGCAAAGTCGTCTAAACGGTTTAGGTGTTTCCACAAGCCGCAGCAGCAGCAGCAAGCAGCAAGCAGCAGCGGCGTCGTCAGCAACAGCAGCAGCAGCGGCAGCAGCACCAAGCCGCAACAAGTAGCAAAGCAGCAGCAACAAAAGCGGCAACCAGCGGCAGCAGCAAACAGCAGCACCGTTTACACCCAGCCAACCACGTTCAACCAACCCCGCTACACGGCGCAGCTGGGAGTCGAACCGTGGGGGGGGGTGGTTAGCGTGATATATTAAGCTTTAAGGCACGCAGCTCATCCCACTACCAATTGCTAAAGCAAAGAAGAACTCAGCTAGCATGCTAGCTTTCGTGACATCTTTGAGCTGCAACTGCTTTGCTTTGCCTTCAGCGTAGTCTATCTTACCATACTTTACTTGACTGTATTACTCACTCTACTCTGCTCTACTTCTTTTCTGATTCCTGCCTTCCTTACTTTGGTACGTGCTAGCTACTCAGGCACCTTACCTACATCCTCAGTTACATGATGATTGTGAGGGTGATCATCTTCTTGTTGCGGCGTCCCAAACAGGGTTGATGGTGTTGTGACAGCGACCAGTGTGCAAAGTTACAGCACAAAGCAATGTTACCACATGTACTCGCAATGAGAATGGTCATTTGCAAGTCTGCAGTAGCGATTCTTGATGCAGTTCTTGAAGCAATCAAGCAAGTCTTGTTTCTGAGATCTGTGCCGATGCCGGTGGTGACTTCCAGGGGTCGGAAGAGGAAGTGCTCGGGGTCTCGGAAGATCAGAAGTTTCTCCACGTCGTCCAAGCGGGCCAAGGCGGATCGCAACAAAGGCACCTCCTGACCTTGAAAAGGAAGCCAAGCGATGAACAGTGAAAAACGAAAAAGGAGGTAGGACAGACAGATTCAGCAAAGTTCAATATAAACATGTTAGGAAGAAGCATATGTGGTCGATGAAAAGAAACTAAAAGAAGAGATGATGAGGACACAACAAAAAGTCCCGAGATGTGGATTCAACAATGGCATTTCTCGAGCCCAAAAGCAAAAGACTCACGTTGTCCGATCTGGCAAATCCGAATTTGTTTTTAATTTGTCAGGTTTTTCACTCGACGCGGTTCAACACGTTGGCCCCTCGCTAGCCTGGCTTGTCCTGACAATTGTTGAGCAAGCGGCAAAGCCGCGGCAAAGCAGCTGCAAAGCAGCTGCACTGTTGCAACGGATATGTGTTGCCCACAGTTTCGACGTGCTATATGGTGACAAAAAACCAGTGCTCATTGCCGCAACATCTACCAAAGAAGGACCAAATGGAACAAACACCCACGAAAGAGATCACTCGCGGTGCCAAAGAACAGACTGTCCAAGCAGGGTGCCAAAGCGTGCCTTTCGTTGTGCGGTGCCAAAGCGTGCCACGTTCAAACAGCTTACGTTGGACGCATTTTGGGCTGCACGAAGTGAACGGAGCGCATTTCCCCAAAAAAACTGCTGACCAGTGATGGTGCCATACCAGCGGGTGGGAGTGATGAGCAGAAAAGGAAGTGAGAAAAGAAAGTAAAAATGAGAAGTCCTTGAAAAGTCTTGTTGAAATCTGCCTTAGAAGTCGTCTTTCATTTCGAGGGGCGGATCTGCCGACGGATTCGCATAAGGCACAAGCGCCCAAAGTTGTACAAAGCCCAGGCTTCACATAAGTCTGCCAGCTCCAAGTTTGTGCTGCAGCGCTCCTTCCATGTGAGAAACTGATGTCCACCATGTAATTTAACACACTTGAGGCCAGGGGGGTGAATGAAAGCTAGCGACTCCAACTAGCTGAGGCTAGCTTTCGTGATCGCCTGGTGAGTAGGTAAGGCAATCTCATGAGCCACCATAGGGCCAGAGGGACTCTTCTCCACAGTGCCTTTTGGGAATTGGCTGATGAAAATGATTAGTAATAGGCACCTTGGCTGGGAAGCTGAAATAATTGATTGAATCAAGGTTATGGACCCCCCCCTCCGCGGGTTCAACTCCCCCCTGCGGAGGGGGTCTGACGACCATGAGCTTCTCATCTAATCTCATCAAGCTGCCTCATGAACACTTTCCCATGCTAATGCCACTCATCTTGCTCCAACCACGGTTTACAGCAAACGACGGTTCACACGAAACACCGCGTACGCCAAAATACGGTTGGCGCCAACCACAGCTTACACCAAACCACAGTCTACACCAACCATGGCTGATACCAAATCACGCTTTACACCAACCACCGTTCACACGAAACCACAGTGCACACCAAACCACCACCAAGCCTGTTTCCCATAACATGCCAGGCATACTCTGCTGCTGCTGCTGCTGTTGTTGCTTGGTGCTCTGCTGCCGCCAAAATCTATTACAATGATTCTTATTTTACCTCTTCCCCTTGGTCCTTCTCATGCCAACCACCCCAGAAGGTGCAAAGCCCCAACCCCATACCATTGCTTCCTTCAACCCGCCCCCGTTTCCGAGGCGCCGTCCACCCCGTCATTTTACTTGCTAAAGCAAGAGCAACTCCAGCTAGCTGAGGCTAGCTTTCGAGAATAGAAATTGATCAAAGGAAGTTTAGAAGGAACTTCCGTGTTACGGACATTCAACAGCTGTTCAACCACCACTCATCATACACCACTCATCAGATTTCGTGGCAGGTGCAGCAATTTGTGAACCTCCATGTGCAGATTTCGTGGCAGGTGCAATACAAAATGCGTTTTCGAGAGATAGCGGACGCACGAAATGCTGTATTTTTCAATAGAACCGGTGGCTTCGAACCTGGCAAGTCTAGCTCTGCGGAACGACTGTTGCGAGACGGTCTCGGGTCATGCTCGGTCGGCCGTCCATTGTGATTAGGTTTTCACTTGTCTCTTGAAGTGCAGATTTCGTTAAAACATAGGACCAAGAAGCTACTAGGAGCAAAGGGCATCGCTACTAGGAGCAAGGAGCTCCTGGCACTACTACTAGGAACAAGAAGCTACTAGGAGCAAAGGGCATCGCTACTAGGAGCAAGGAGCTGGGTGGCACTACTACTAGGAACAAGAAGCTACTAGGAGCAAAGGGCATCGCTACTAGGAGGAAGGAGCTCCTGGCACTACTACTAGGAACAAGAAGCTACTAGGAGCAAAGGGCATCGCTGCTAGGAGCAAGGACGCTACTGGTAGCTCCTGGCACTACTACTAGGAACAAGAAGCTACTAGGAGCAAAGGTCATCGCTACTAGGAGCAAGGACGCTACTGGTAGCTCCTGGCACTACTACTAGGAACCAGAAGCTACTAGGGGCAAAGGGCATCGCTACTAGGAGCAAGGAGCTCCTGGCACTACTACTAGGAACAAGAAGCTACTAGGAGCAAAGGGCATCTCTACTAGGAGCAAATAGCTCCTGGCACTCCTACTAGGAACCAGAAGCTGCTAGGAGCAAAGGGCATCGCTACTAGGAGCAAGGAGCTCCTGGCGCTACTACTAGTAACCAGAAGCTACTAGGAGCAAAGGGCATCGCTACTAGGAGCAAGGACGCTACTGGTGGCCCCTGGCACTACTACTACGAACCAGAAGCTACTAGGAGCAAAGGGCATCGCTACTAGGAGCAAGGACGCTACTGGTAGCCCCTGGCACTACTACTACGAACCAGAAGCTACTAGGAGCAAACGGCATCGCTACTAGGAGCAAAGGGCATCGCTACTAGGAGCAAGGACGCTACTGGTAGCTCCTGGCACTACTACTACGAACCAGAAGCTACTAGGAGCAAAGAGCATCGCTACTAGGAGCAAGGACGCTACTGGTAGCTCCTGGCACTACTACTAGGAACAAGAAGCTACTAGGAGGAAAGGGCATCGATACGAGGAGCAAGGACGCTACTGGTAGCTCCTGGCACTACTACTACGAACCAGAAGTTACTAGGAGCAAAGAGCATCGCTTTTAGGAGGAAGGAAGCTACTGGTAGCTCCTGGCATTACTACTAGGAACAAGAAGCTACTAGGA